CAGGGAGCCCGACGTGGGACTCGATCCCGGGACTCCAGGATCATGACCTGAGCCGAAGGCAGTCGCTTAACCAACTGAGCCACCCAGGCGCCTCTCACCTGTTTCTTTTTAATTTTTAAAAGTTGCTCCTAGAAAAATGTGAATGCAATTTGTGGACTGCATTATATTTCTATTAGCACTGTCCTAGAACATTCACCAGCCCCTTATTCTCCTGATCACTGGATAACAGTTGTCTTTCCCAGTCATGACAATCACAAATGTCCCCAGACATCGCCCAGGGACCCGTGGGGGCAGAACCGCCCCCGGGGTTGAGACCCCCTTCTGACCTGATGTAACTCCTCCATGAGACAGTGGAGGCTCTCGTGTGTTCCCACACTCAAAAATGCGCCTGGCACGTTCCTGCCTCCCAGTCTCGGCACACTCGGTCCCCACGCCACCCCCACCTCCATCTGCCACAGTCTTCCCCATCTCTCAAGACGCAGTTCAAACGCTCCCTCCTCCAAGGAGGCACCTTGTTTGCCTGCCACCAAGTCATCGGTGGTGGGGCAGGCCCCCTGCTTCCCCTCTGACCCCCCACCCCCGAGATGCCGCCCCCGGCTGCCTTATATCTGCTGTTCATTTAGTGCTTGCCCCATTACAGTGGGTTGAATAGGGACTCCCCTAAAACACAAAGTCCTAAGCCCCCAAAACCTGTGAATGGGACCTTATTTGCAACAAGTGTCCTTCCAGATGTCAGTAAGTCATGGATCTCAAGATGGGGTCATCCTGGATTTCGGGTGAGCCCTAAGCCCAATGACAGGTGTTCTTATAGGAGAAAGGCAGAGGGAGAGGGGAGACGTGTAGGCACGGAGGATGGCCATGTGGTGACAGAGGCAGGGATCCGGCTGATGCGTCAATGAGCCAGAGAACATCAAGGATTATGGGCGTCACCTGAAGCTGGAGAGACATGGAGCAGGTTCCCCCCAGAACCTCTGGAGGGAGCGTGGCCCTGCTGACGCCTTGATTTCAGACTTTGGCCCCCAGAACTGAGGGAGGGCAAGTCTCTGTCACTTTAAGCCCCCTAGTGTGTGGTGCTTGGTGTCAGTGACCCCAGATCACTCACTGGCCCCCCCATTCACTCCTGCCCGGAAAGCCTTGCTCCTAAAGCATCTCAAACCCCTGACTTCTACCCCTGCCATCCCTGCCCGAGTCGCTTCCTGACCAACTACAGCTCCCTGCTGCCCCTCTGGCCCCCCTCCCTGCTCGGAGAGGCATCCCTGAGCACCCTGTCTGAACAGAACCTGCATCCAGAGTCTGAAAATCACTCTGAAAGACCCCCCCGCTTCTCAGCTCCATGTTGTGCTCACCACCAGAAGCCCTCCCATTGGGTCCCGCTCGGGTCACAGATCAGGTGCTCAGTATGCATCTGCTGAATGAACCAATGTGTGCTGAGCACGCAGCCCAGGGTCTGCCCTGGAGGGGCCCCTAATCCCGGCTGCTGATGGAGCCCAGAGCCCAGCTTTGGCCCCCAACACAGAGGGAGCTGGGCCTCACGTTGGGGAAAGGGAGGCTGGCTTTGACTCCATCAGGAAAATGGGAGCAGAAGAAAGCTAAGAAGAACTTAGCTGGGGGCACCAGCTAAGAAATGTTAGCAGATCTCCAAGAGGGTACGGATTTCTCTGGACAGAAGGGTCAGAGCTTCCAGCCCGAATCTGATCACACACACACACACACACACACACACACACACACACGTCCACTGGACATGGAGGGACTGGGTGCCCGCAAAGTGTCTGCGGTCAAATCCCCGTTCTGCTGTTTGCTGGCCGCCCGACCTTGGACACATCCACTAGAACACTGCTTTGTTCCTCTCGGTGTCCAATGCTCCCAGGCTCCTGGTGCCCGGAGCCGGGCAGACAGCGTGTCGCTCTGAGACCCAGGGGCACTGAGCTTCTTCCTTGCATCCTGGGGGGAGCCGGCCACCGTGCCGCGAGGCTGCTCAAGATGTACCCCCTGGAGAGGAAGTGAGACCTCCCGTCCGTGGCCGCTCCAGGGGCCAGCACGGTGGCCAGTCCCACAGCCACACTCAAATGCCAGCTGACCACTCAACTGCGATGTCAGGGCTCCTCTGAGCCAGGACCATGCGGCAAACTCAATCCTTAATTCCTGACCCGGGGCCCCTGAGATAACTCATGCTGGTGGCTTGAAGCCACCAGGTTGTGGTACAATTGTTGATAACTAATATGGTCCACAGAACCCCACTGTTCCCCCCACCCCCCGGGTGCTAACCTGTACGGATGGACCTGCCCTCCAGGTCCGGCTCAGTTTGGGGAGGTGCTGGCAGAACATCCGAGGGAGGGAGAACTGTGAATTCTCTTCCCAGATGTCACTTCCTCAGTGAAGCCTTCCATGACCACCTCTATGGTTTCCTCCCCTCACTCCCCCCTGTTATACTCTTCCGGTGCTGAAGATCAGAGAGGTTAAGTCACTGGCTCACAGACACAGCAAGGACTGTTTGGAACTAAGCAAGGAGCGCCGCCACAGCACTCTACCACTCTTGTCTCCACTTCACCGCCCCCAAGAGGGACACCTTATTCTTCACTATGAGGTTGAGGCCAACCCCAGGACCATTTTTGGTGCTGTTCAGAGTCAAGTCAACCCCTGCCATGATCTCATGTTCCCAGCAGGTGCACCCCGATTATCCAGCCAGCCCTGCTGCACCCATATTCTCAGCATTTATGGCCACAGATGCCACCCAAGTCGCCCCTAAATGCCTTTGAGGCTGAAGAGTCTCTGAGAAATGTAGAGGGAAGCGTGGACACCCCCAGAGGTCATGGGGTGCCATGGATCTCACTGTGGTTCCTTCCATTTCCACCCAGAGGCACTGCCCGGGGACCGGGCTTAGTTAGCTCAGGGGGACCACCTTCCCTTCACCGGGGACAGGGACCTCCTGCCCACCCCAAGAAGGCAGGGCTGACAAGGGAGAGCCAGCAGGGACAGAGCCTGGGCCAGCCCTGTATGACTTGCCCGGTCCCCTCCCTGCCCTCCCCTCCTCCCTCTCTCCCTCTTACTCACTCTGTTCCAGCCACACAAGCCTCCTTGCTGTTCCTCCAACACACTAGGCACAGTCCTGCCCCAGGATCTTTGCACGGGCTATTCCATTTGCCTGCTAATGCTTCCTCATCCTTCAGGTCTCAGCACAACGACACTAACATGCTGGGCCAGGTGCCATTGTGCAGTATGCGACCTACACAACCACACAGAACCACTCAGGTGGGAAGTATGGAGCATGACATGTGGTAGGCACTCAATAAATGCTCTCTTTGGTGATCATTTCTGTCTGTCGGCACCTTATACCTCTTTCTGAGTCCAGAGGCATGTGGGCTTCACAGCTGATCCTTGGAAGGGCCTTAGGCTTCCCCAGGCTGAGAGCAGCCCCCCTCCCCAGACAGCACCTCGGACTCACCCCGGGCAAGGTCTTCTGTTCGTGCAGGGCAGTCTGAGCTTTGATGGCGGAGTCCCTGGCACAATAGGTGAGAAAGGCACAGCCTGGAAAGGAAAGAATTGGGGGTGTTAAGAGAAAGGAATGCGGAGACCCGTGTTCACGGTCACATTGATCCCAACAGCCAGAAGGTGGAAGCAACCCAAATGTCCATCAGAGGATGAAGGATAAACACAACTTGTCCTTCCACCCACACACTGGAATATGATCTAGCCTTAGAAAGGAAGGGACCCTGACACCGGCCACAACGTGGAGGGACCCTGAGGACACTGGGCTCAGTGAGAGGAGCCAGACCCAGAAGGACACATCCCGCAGGACCCCACTCCCAGGAGGTCCCCAGAGGAGTCCCGTCCACAGAGACAGAGAGGAGAGGGTGGGAGCCAGGGCTGGGGCAGGGGATGGGGAGTCCGTGCTTCGTGGGGACGGAGTCTCCATGTGGGGAGATGGAACGTTCTGGAGATGGCAGGGGCGGGGGTTGGTGATTGCATGACAGTGTGAGTGTGTTTCCTGCTGCTGAGCTGCAGGGTGCCTGGGTGGCTCAGTCAGTTAAGCGTCTTCCTTCGGCTCAGGTCATGATCTCAGGGTCCTGGGATCAAGCCCCACCGCATCAGACTCCCTGCTCGGTGGGGAGTCTGCTTCTCCCTCTCCCTCTGCCTCTCCACCCCCGCCCCTGCTCGTGCTCTCTCTTTCTCTCTCAAATAAATAAATAAAATCTTTTTTAAAAAATGCTTTGAGGGGCGCCTGGGTGGCTCAGTCGTTAAGCATCTGCCTTCGGCTCAGGTCATGATCCCAGGGTCCCGGGCATCGGGTTCCCCGCTCAGCGGGGAGTCTGCTTCTCCCTCTCCCTCTGCCTGACGCTCCCTCTGCCTGACGCTCCCTCTGCCTCTGCCTGATGCTCCCTCTGCTTGCGCTCTCTCTCTCTGTGTGTCAAATAAATAAATAAATAAAATCTTAAAAAAAATAAATAAAATAAAAAATGCTTTGAGCTGTGCACTTAGAGATGGTTTAGACGGTAAATTTAATGTTATGTGTATTTTACCACAATAAAAAAATGGAAAAGGAGGAAAAATTGTTTAAGATGGTAGATTTTATCTTCTTTTTTACTACAAGTTAAAGATAAACAGAGGAGCCAACTTTTTTGGGGGCGGGGGCCAACAGCAGTGGTTCAGCTGCCCCCCACCCCAAACGGTGAGCTAGGGAAGGGGAGAGAGGAGACCCCGCTGTTAAATCCGTGGCTGACGCTAGATAAAGAGATACTGAGAAGGCTGGGTGAGGTGCGGTGGGGGGAGTGGGACAGCGGCTGCCTCGGAGAGGGGGTGCACCAGCAACCCCAAAGATGCAGAAGGCGCCCCGGGACTGGGACGAGGAGCACCGTGGCTCTGCATGGACCTGCTTCGTGGCCTTGGATGGGGCGCCTCTGCCTCCGTGGACGGGGCGCCACCTCTGTCTAGGTCTCAGTTGTCCCCATTGAGAAGATGGTCCCAGTGTAGGAGGGGGGAAGGGTCAAGGGGCGGGGGAGGAGCTAGAGGGGGCGTGGCGCAGTGGCCAAGGGCAGAGCCAATCAGGAGAGGAAGGGGCGGGCCAGCCCTGAAGTGGTCCAGAGCCAGGGTGTGATTGACTGGACGTCGTCTTGGGGTGGGGGTGGGGGTGGGGCGGGGTGCAAAGCGTGAGAACTGCAGAGACAAGAGACATTGAGAGAGACAGAAGCAAGGAGAGAGAAGCCCCCAGAGAAAGCCTGATGAGATCAAAGGTATTTGAAAGATGTTTGCCTGAGGCCGGGTGTGGGAGGCAGGCAGGTGTCAGGTCCCCTTCGACGGACCCAGGGGACCGGGCCTCAGCCCTGGGCTTTGCCTCTAATCTCTGTGGACCTCATTTTCACTGCGTGTGAAATGAGACCATCGTTGGCCGCTCTGATGCTGTTGGACCCTGTGTCCACCACCCCCATCTCCCTCCCTCTGCCTCCCCCTCCCCCGCAGGATCCCCTGCGCAGAAGCCCTGGTGCCCATTTTTGCTCCAGGCAGGAGCTAATTAAAGCCGTATCCTTCCTTCTGGGATGAGCTCACCAAGCCCCCACTCCCACAGGCGGGGCCGGTTGATGGGGAGGGGTCTGCCTCAGGCCTGACAGGCTCCCTTGGAACCCTGGGGAGAAAAGCACCAGGCAGAGCTGAGGATGGTTTCTAGCATTTAAAAAACATTTGTTGTGAGAATGTAAAATGGTGCAGCCCCTGTGGGAAACAGTTTGGCGGCTCCTCAAAAAAGTTAAACATAGAATTACCATATGATCCAGCAATTCCACTTCTGGGTCTATACCCAAAAGAATTGAAAACAGGGACTCGAACAGATATTTCAAACAGATATTACACATATTCACAGCGGCATTATTCAGAACGGCCAAAAGGTAGAACAACCCAAGTGTCCACCAACAGATGCATGGATAAACAAAATGTGGTCCATTCATACACTGGAATATTATTCTGCCTTAAAAAGTGGGGAATTATGACCCATGTTACAACGTGGATGAACCTTGAGGATGTTATGTTCAGTGTCATAAACCAGACATAAGGGGGGTGGGAGGATGGGTTAGTCTGGTGATGGGTATTAAAGAGGGCACATTCTGCATGGGGCACTGGGTGTTATGCACAAACAATGAATCATGGAACAATTCACCTAAAACTAATGATGCAATGTATGGGGATTAACATAACAATAAAAAATTTTTTAAAATAAGCCAGACATAAAAGGACACATCCCTCAGGACCCCACTCCCAGGAGGTCCCCAGAGGAGTCCCGTCCACACAGACAGAGAGGAGAGGGTGGGAACCAGGACTGGGGAGGGGGTGGGGGAGTCCATGCTTCATGGGGACAGATCCGTATGGGGAGATGGAAAGTTCTGGAGATGGAGGGTGGGGGTGGTTGTACAACAGTGTGATTGTGCTTAACGCCATTGAGGTGTGCGCTTAAAAATAGTTAAGATGGGGGGGCGCCTGGGTGGCTCAGTCAGTTAAACATCCGACTTGTCTTGGCTCTGATCATGATCTCAGGGTAGTGAGATGGAGTCCCGGATAGGGCTCAGCGCTCAGCTGGGGGGTCTGTTTGAGATTCTCCCTCTTCCTCTGCCCCTCCCCCCCACCGTGCTCTCTCTCTCTAAAAATAAACAAATCTTTAAAAAATGGTTAAGATGGTGAATTTAATGTTATGTGTATTTTACCAAAATAAAAAATTGTCATTGGGATATATTAAAAAACATACCCCCCTAAGAAAGGTGCAGAACATGAAAGTATATAATGTAGCAAATAATCATAAAATCATGTAACCATTTCCTGGGTCAAGGAATAGAACATGGCAGTCACCGGAAATCCCAGTGCTTCCCATCCCATGACAAGCCCCTCCATCCCCCGGAGGTGACTGCTATCCTGGCTTTTGTGATAACCACGTCATTGCTTTTCATTATGGCTTCCCGCCCCGTGTGTGTCACTAATCAATGTAGCTGAGTACTTCCTGCTTTTGAACTTATATAAACGGAATCATAGCATATGTATACTTTGTGTCTAGATTCTGTTACTCAACAACAGATGGCTGTGAGTATCAGGAATTAATTCCTTTTCATAGCTGTGTAATATTTTCTCCTGTGAATATACTGCAAGTTGGCTATCCATTCTCTTGTGAGTGGGCATCTGGGTTGTCCACTGTTAGAGACTATCATGAAAAACGCTGCCATGGAACATTCTTATATAGGTGCTTTGATGCACAAAGGCATATCTAGGAATGGGATTGCAGGTTATAAGGTAGGTTTATGTTTAGCTTAAACAGATTCCTTCAAACAGTTTTCCAAAATGGGTTGTACCAAAGAATTCTCCAACCAACGGTTCTGACAATATTAATGCTTCATTTTCACCAACGCTTGGTTTTGCCAGCCTTTTAAATGTTAGTCATTGTGGTAGGCGTATCACTGCATTTCATTGAGATTGTAACATACATTGCTATAGTTATTAATAAAGCCGGGCACCTTGTTGCTTTGTAGGAGTTCTTTATGTGCTGTGTAAATAAAGAATACTTTGTATTCTTTTATGGTTATATCTGATGCACACATCTTCCCCCAATCCATGGCTGGTCTTTCTACTCCTTTTTTGGTGTTTCTATTTTCTGAATTTAATCCCCCAAGGCCTTCAGGGAAAGGAGAGGCACTAAGACAACTAGCCTAGGGCCTGAGAGAAATTAGGCACAACCAGCAAGAAACTGGACTGCAAGAAGATGTGAAATAGAGGCAAAACCCTTCCTCCTTGGGCCCATTCTTGCCGGTGAGGCCTCATTTGCAGAAAATGGAGTGTGCTAGTCCTGGGAGGCTAGGATAGGACCCCCGAGTGACCTTCTAGGCCATCAGCCTCTGGGTCCGGAAGGCTTTCAGCCAGAGGGACAGAAAGACCAAATTGCATGCCACTGTCCCCGGTGCTGAAATGCTTGCCTGTTCTCTTGACCCCTTAGTTTCTCTTTTCTAATGGGGAGAAATGTGTGATGTTTACCCCTTTCTGGGTACATACAGCCTTGATGTTCAGTTAGTTCAGTTCCTGTTAGGGTTTAATTGGATCCCCCCTCCCCAAAATTCATATGTTGCTGTCCTAACCCCTCAGGACCTCAGAATGGGACCTTATTTGGAAAATGAGCCATTGCAGATGTAATGAGTTAAGGTGAGGTCATCCTGGAGGAGGGTTAGCCCCAATGCTGTAGGACTAGTGTCCTTACAAAAGGAGGAAATTTGGGCACAGAGACACACACTCAGGGAGAAGGCCATGTGATTATGAAGGCAGAAATCTGGGGGATGTATCAACAAGCCCAGGGACAGTAAGGACTTCCAACAAACCACCAGAAGCTGGGAGAGACCTGAACCAGATTCTCCCTCCATTTCGAAGGAACCAACTCAACCCGCACCTTAATCTCAGACTTCTGGCTCCCCGGACAGTGAGCAAACATGTTTCTGTTTTTGAAGACCCCTGGTTTGTGGTACATTTTTTCCGCAGCCCTAGCAACCTAATACAGTCCCCAGTCAGCA